GGGGGGGCGGGGGGGCCCCCCCTCCCCGCCGGTGCGGAGCAGGAAGCGTGCGGCTGTCCCAGCCCCGGCCCCGGCAGCCCCGGGAAACTTTCCATCCCCCTCCCGCCCGAGCCTGGGAAATTAAACAACTGTCTGGCTCCGGCAGCCGGCACACGGAGTGGGTCTCCACCGGCTGCGCTGGCCCAGTGTGCGCCCGGCTGCCTAGGCATGTGGCCCCTTGCTGGCCCCGTGCCACCGGCCACCCTACTGTCCCCAAGGCGGCAGCTGCTCCCGCAAGGGCAGGGGTGCTCTGCCCGGACACATGGCGAAATGCCATGCTGAGCCCCCAGCGGCCACGACATACGGGACGGCTGTGCCACGGTGCCACCGAGGCACATGGCTGGGTCTGGAGCGTCCCGGAGACACGGTGTGGACACGCCATGGTGCCACTGAGGGACACAGCCAAGCCTGGAGCATCCTGGGCACATGATGTGGCCATGCCACAGTGCCGCCGAGGGACACAGCCAAGCCTGGAGCATCCCGGACAGGCGGTGTGGACACACCACGGTGCCACCAAGGGACCTGTGAGAGCCAAACTCACCCCAGGGCTCCCATCGTGCCCCCAGCCCCTCCTCGCTGCCCGGCGTGGGGCCATGCCTGGCGGGGACAGGGAGGAGCAGGATGAGGCCCGGCCGGTGGCGGTGGCACCTGTGGGGGAGCCTCTGGCCCGGCCGTGTGAGATGGGGACCCCGAAAGCCACCAGAGGGGGGTCTTGGTGGAAGCGTCCCCCCTCACTTCCAAGGGACTGCGAGCACAATCATGGGGACATCAGGGCGGAGGGACAGAGGGACATCAGGGGACGGTGGGGCGGGGGCAGAGCCGGCCCCCCCGGGCTGCCTGGCAGCCAGCAGCCCCTGGGACAGCCGGAGCTGGGCAGGACCGGCCACAGGACAGCCAGTCCCAGTCCCCAGGACAGCCAGTCCCTGTCCCCTCCCGGGCTGCGGCTGTCCCCGCCGGACACGTGTCTGTGTAGGGGGTGGACGGTGAGTGACACTGGAGCCAGGTCCCTCACCCGTGCCAGCCCCATGCTGTCCCCAAGCTGGGGACAGGCACGGGGGGGGACGACACACGGGGAATGGCCCAAAAATAACCCTGCAGCAGCGCGGCCGGGACTGAGCCACAGCGGGGGGGGACCGAGGTCACCCCCGGGCAGGGCCAGGCCTCCCCTGCGGTGGCACCCGGCTGGGACAGGGGATGGGGACAAGGGGGGGTGAGGAGGATGAGGACAAGGGGATGGGGACAGGGATTGGGGAGGGGGTGACGGGGTTGGGGATGATGGGGATGGAGGGGACGGAGGGGACGGGGATGGGGACAGGGTGGTGGGGATGGAGGTGACAGGGACGGGGGGGATGGGGGCAGAAGGG